TCATACACTCAGACTGGGGCCTTCGTTGCCATATACTGGATCGCGCTTGAACCAACCCAAGCTTCCAATCCGTCTGACCTGGTCCTCCTCGCCGGGCTTCCCATAGCACATGTCCCATGTTTTGCCCTTCTCATAAGATCCTACCATCTGGAAGCCGCCATAATCCTCCAGCAACCGGTGACCGACCCCAGCAGGGACCACTACAACATCCCCTTGCTCCAAAACAGGCTCCACTCGACCTTCGTTCTTTTCACCTCCAAAGCAGCACTTTGCAGACCCTGCAGCAATGCTGAGAACTTCATGGGCTGTGGAGTGGAAGTGAGTCTCGCTAAACATGGTGTATCTCCATTGTGGAGAAACAACCCCGACGGAGTTGAGGTGAGATTCGATGGTTGAGGGCTGGGGGTCTGTAAAGGCGCCGTGGTATATCATGAGTGGTTTGCCTTGTATGGAGGTGTTTGGAATGCCTTTGTAGGCGGGGATCTGATGTTTCGAAACTCGCAAAGCACTCAACGGAGTGATCGGCATGTTGCCTCTTCAGCGAACTCGTCGAGATCGGAGTGTCCGTGGTTCGGAGACTTGCGAACTGATAGGGTTGCGAAGGGGCTCGTGCAGTGCCTCGTGCACGAGAGAGATGATAGCATTAGAACAGGAGAAGAGGAGCACTTTACATGGGCGGCCTGTGAAATTCCAAGACAGTGTATAGAGCGACAACAGAACACGCAGAGAACAGCTCAGACTAGAGTTAAATGACGTCATCCGGTCTAGTTAGTTAGTCATCATCTCTCCGGAAGATATGGATGATCCAGACCGACCAGACGTGCTGTGGCCTTGCCCTTCCAGCGCAGCCTCTCATCTAACAGCCTACCTCCATACAGCATCTTTTGCCTGCAGCGATTACGACCAACGCCTCGTCCTTTCTGGTCACCTGTCCGTGAGTTGGAATGCGTTTCAGGAATGACATTGCTTCCTCGTTGAATCCGCAGTGACTGAAATTCACCCGCTACTGTGCCATTCAGTCGAACCAACCTCGAGTTTCCCTCACTCCCTCTTTCGCTGTCGAACCGAGGAACCGATCTGGCAAGAACTCGAGAGGAGGAGGAAGAACTAAAAGCACGCAAGCCTCCGCAGGGAGACAACACCCAGGCTGCTTTCCGTTTGCCACGGTCGCCTTTACATAACCTCTCGCCCCCTCCCCCAGACCTTTATATCTGCTCCTTGCAACAATACTTCTCCAAGTCTTCAGTGAAGACAAAGATATCCTCCCGAAATGGCACCAACGGCGAGCACGGCCTCTAACCCGGCGATGCGAGCGCGAGACGATCTTGATTCTACGTAAGGATGTCACAATGAAAACAAAAGCCCCTGTTGACCGGTATTAGGTGGACATATCTCGAAAAGAACGTCGACAATGTAATGAACAAGTTGCAGGAGGGTCTTGACATGAAGACATACATGTTTGTTAAAATCCCCCTTGCGCAGGTAGTAGTCTTTTCTGACCTGATGCCAGGGGCGTGTATACCGCGGTTCACAATTTCTGTACTTCGCAAAAAGCAGCCACGAATCAAAGTCAGGGTGGCTCACCAGGAACCTTGAGTCCCGCTCATCGAGGCGCCCATCTTCTGGGCGAGGAGCTCTACACCCTCCTTGGTAAATATCTCACGGGACATCTTCGCGATGTCCTGGCCGCTTCCGAATCACACACAGACGAGGCGCTGCTGGCCTTCTACATCCGAGAGTGGAAACGGTATACCGACGCTGCAAAATACAACAACCACCTCTTTAGATACCTGAATCGGCACTGGGTGAAGCGAGAAATTGATGAAGGCAAGAAGAACGTCTACGACGTCTACACGCTCCACCTGGTTAAATGGAAGGACGACTTCTTCAAGGCCGTTGAGGGCAAGGTAATGGATGCGGTCTTGAGACTCGTTGAAAAACAACGCAACGGCGAGACTATTGATCAGATGCAGATCAAGGCCATTGTCGATTCCTTCGTCTCCCTCGGCTTGGATGAGCATGACAGCAGCAAATCCACGTTGGACGTCTACCGCCTTTACTTCGAACGCCCGTTTATCCTCGCCACCAAAGAATACTACATCAACGAGTCCCGCCGGTTTGTGGCAGAGAACAGCGTTGTCGAGTACATGAAGAAGGCAGAGGCAAGATTAGAAGAAGAAAAGGAGCGTGTGGGCCTCTACTTGCACCCGGACATTATGAAAAAACTTATGGAAACGTGCAACGAAGCCCTCATCAGCGCTCATTCTGTCCTGTTGCGAGATGAATTTCAGGTGCTGCTCGACAACGAGCGTACCGAGGACCTTGCGCGGATGTACAAACTCCTGTCCAGAATCAAGGATGGGCTGGACCCCCTGAGGACGCGATTCGAGAGCCACGTCCGCAAAGCCGGCATTGCAGCTGTGGAGAAGGTTGCGGCCCAAGGAGACAGCTTTGAACCAAAAGTCTATGTCGATGCGTTGCTCGAAATCCACGGCAAATATCAACAACTCGTCAATGTCGCCTTTACGGGAGAATCCGAATTTGTGCGGTCGCTCGACAATGCTTGCCAGGAATTTGTCAACCACAACCAAGTTTGCAAAACCAACTCTACTCGATCCCCTGAACTGCTTGCCAAATACGCCGATCAACTCCTCAAGAAAGGCGCCAAGGCGGCAGACGAGTCTGAGCTTGAAGAACTTCTTGTACAGATTATGGTCGTGTTTAAATACATCGAGGATAAGGACGTGTTCCAGAAGTTCTATTCCCGAATGTTGGCCAAGCGTCTAGTGCACACGAGCTCAGTATCAGACGATGCGGAAACGAGCATGATCAGCAAATTGAAGGAGGCATGTGGTTACGAGTACACTAACAAGCTTCAGAGAATGTTCCAAGACGTACAAATTTCCAAGGATCTCAATACTGCCTACAAAGACTGGCATGACAAGATTCTCGAGGACAGTGACGAGAAGAGGACGGTCGACTCGACATTCCAAATCTTGGGAACGGGTTTCTGGCCTCTCAATGCTCCCAACACTCCATTTGCCCCTCCTGCTGAAGTCAGCAAAGCCATCGAGTCTTTTACCCGCTTCTACGACCAGAAACATAATGGTCGCAAGTTGACATGGCTGTGGCAGTTGTGCAAAGGCGAGATTCGAGCTAATTATATCAAGAGCCAGAAAGTGCCCTATACCTTTCAAGTTTCCACCTACCAGATGGCCATCCTGCTTCTGTTCAACGACTCCGACAAGATGGATTATTCCGAAATCAAAGAACTTACCAAGTTGACCGATGAAACAATTGAACCGGCGATCGGCATCCTGTGCAAAGCGCGCGTCTTGATCTCGTCGCCCGAAGACGGCAAGCCGGCACCCGGCACTAGTTATTCGCTCAACTACAACTTCAAGAACAAGAAGGTCAAGATTAACCTGAATATCACTGTCAAATCCGAACAAAAGGTAGAATCGGAAGACACTCACAAGACCATTGAGGAGGATCGAAAACTGTTACTCCAGGTAGGTGTCTTGCAGTTGTGTTGCTGGGTGTGCGTTTTGCTAACTTTATCAGGCTGTGATCGTTCGTATTATGAAAGGTCGCAAGAAGCTCAAGCATGTCCATCTGGTCGAGGAAGTCATCAACCAAGTCCGTAACCGATTCCCCCCCAAAATCTCCGACATCAAGAAAAACATCGACGCCCTGATGGAGAAAGATTACATTGAACGTTTGGACAATGACGAATTGGCGTACATTGCATGAGTAATGCACTTTTTGTGCAGAATGGCTCTCTCCAAAGAGGGAAATCTATTGGTTCCCTGGAGGGGCTACAGCTGTCGGCCAGAGGAAACCAGTCTCTTCAGTGGATGTTTCTTCTATGCTTTTGCCGACATTCCAGGCAGAGAATTCTCAGAACTCGAAAGACAAGGGTGAATCAGGGCGAATGGCGTGGACGGATTTGGACGATTTGTTGACGGGCGATTTCACCTAATCAACACGCATGGTACGGACAACAGCATTGCGCGGTGGTGCAGCGGACTGCATTGGCTTCTCTCTCAATTTCTTTTCTCTCCTACGATCAGCGTCACGACTCGACCGGGCAGTTCTCGGAGCGTGGGGGAAAAACAAGGCTTCTGATGGGAACGAATTCGACTGAACGACTTGACGACGCGTGCACATTAACCCTTGAGAGTTTTTCACAAAGTCGACTAGAATCAATGGGCCGGAACTGTGGAAAGGGGCCTGAATGAACGGCACCGAGTATTATGCTTGCGTGCGTTTGTCCCCCGAGGACAATAACGAGGTTGTGGACAAGGATGGTTCTTGGTCTTGGGCAGGTCATGACGAGAAGCATTTGGCGCTGGTTGTGTTTCGCGCGCACGCAAGGGCCCGTTAGTGAGTGGTATGATGACAATGAAAAAAGAAGACTCTCTGTTTCATCCCAATCCGCGGTTTACAGGTCACAATGGCGTTCGTGAGCGATTGAGGCGATTCCAACAGGCAGAAGTCGGACTTGGGTAGTCAGTCTACATACACGCATTCATTCATACATACATACATTCATACAGTAGAAACGAGGTATCCCTTTTCTCGCTGCAGACTTTGTGCTCTTGTCGTGTCTTTTCGCAGTGTAGCGTCGCAAGGAATAGATTCGAAGAAATTATGAGGGAACGAATGGCCTTGACGCTACGCTACCCACCACGAAACATTTGCAAGTAGATACAGTAGGTAGGTGTCTTTGGCGACGGGATGAACATGCCCAAGAATGGTCCTATTCCTGCTCCTGTTCCATTTTACTTCTTGTAAATACTGCTTCGAGTGTGCTACCTCATTCCCCCCCCCCGGACCCCGGATCTGTCCTCAATCAATCAATCAACCAACCACGCTGACCTTGTTCCTTGTGCTCTCTCCATGCTCGATGCTCGCTCGCTCGCTGGCTCAATCGCTCAATCGATCGCCCACTCCGGTAAATCAATCACTCAATAAACAAACCAAACCATCTGGTAAAATCATCCCCCTCCACCACCGCCCCCTGCATCCCCCGCCTCGTTTGGTCCAGGTGTGCTCTGGATCTGAGACGGGGTCTGAGACGACGGGGTCCCCTTCACTTGTTGCTGCTGAGTCTGTTGGGTCTGCTGCGTCTGCTGATTCTGCTGTTGAATCCGTTCCCTGGCCCACGTGCCCCAGCCGCTGAGATACGCGCCTGCACGAGCCGCGCCCTCGCGTGCCGAAGCTTGGATCTGGGACGTGTCGACGCGCGGGGCCCGGTCGCGGAGTGATGCCGTCCAATTCGAACCACCCGCTGCCCCTGTCGAAGAGGAAGGTCCTGTGGTCGAGGAGGAAGAGGGAGGCGAGACAGGCCGCGGCGTCGTCTTTGATGGTGCGGATCCATTGCCTAGCTCTCCCTCGGTTTCGACCACCATCCAACTTGAGTTGGAGCTCGCGCTCGACAGAGCCGCGGCGGACGGCTTCGTCGCGAGGTCTTGATGTTGTTCGCCTTCCCCGCTGGTCCTCGCCGTGCCGTGACTCCCGCTTGTCGTCTTGTTCGCCCGCTGTTGCGCCCGCTGTTCCCGCGCCTTTTCCAGCTCGGCCCAAAACCTAGCCATCCCGGCCTCGACCCTCTCCCGCCCGCTCTGCAGCGTGCGGCCCAACTGTTCGCGTCCCTCCCTGACCTTCTCGTCGAGGTGAAGCTCCGCCATTCCCCTCGCAACCCGCCTTTGCAGGTCCTCCACCGTCAAACCTCCACCGGTCGGGTGCCGTGGTTCGATGATGTCGAAGATGCGGTTCCCCCGCGTGAGGCGGTCAAACAGGGCGAAATTATTCGTCGTGCGCCACATGGCCAGGAATTCCGGGTTGAAATCCGTCGCCGTGTCTCCCGGTTCGGGGAAGTTCTCGATGTTGGCCACCGAAGCCGGGATGCCGCTTTCCGAGACGGTTTCGTGGTAGATTTGATAGGCCATGCTGCTGAGTAACGAGAGTATGTACTCCTCGAACTGCATGCGGATGGCATCCTCCGAACCGGCATAGCCCATGTTCTTCGGCCGGCTCGGGTTTTCTGGATCCCACGTGTCCAGAACGGTCTGTGTGAGGTAGTCGATCCACCGTCGATCCGCGGCGCTCAGGGCGAGAGCGGCGCGCAAAGACGGAGACGTGACGGTCATCGAGTTGGATTCGTCGAGGTTGATGAGAATGTCGCTGTACTTTTCCTTTTGCTGGAGGAGGAGGCTGTTGGTGGAACCGACGACGTAGGATTTGGTGTCATAGTCGGCAAGAATGTCAAGTTGCTGGAGGGGCGTGTATGGACCAAAGATTGAACCCTAGGAAACCGCCCAAGCGATGGAGCTGGTTAGCCGCTGCGGACGTACGAATGAAGATCGAAGTCTATCAAAGAAATATCGGGAGTTTCTCCTCTGCAGACTCACCTTTCCAAACAGCTGTAATGGCAAGCCCATAAATGCCAATACTGAGTACCCGTGTCAGCGTCTTTCCCAGTGGCCATGCGTGTCCAAGTACGTACGCGAGGATCTATCGCCCGTCCTCAGGCTCGTCGCCTTCTGCGCCTTCTGTGCGTAATTGTCCAGGCTCGGATCTGCCGCGTCTTGCAAGTTTGCAATAAGTCCAGGAATGAGCGATATCAGGGCAAACTGCATCATGCACAGCCTTTCACACTTGGAGCCAAAGAAGAGCATCTGCAACAGAAAGCACAATGTGTAAGTATGATAGACAGAGAGCACTGCATCGCATTGGCAGAAACGAGGGACGTTTTGAGCAGGGAGGTCCAGCAAGAAGTGTCCGGGTAGGCAAAAATCTTACCTTTCGCTGCAGCAGGAGGCATTTGACCAGAGCCAAGGTCTGATGTCGAAATTCATATATCATTTCTCTCAGAGAGAGACCTATGAGCAATCCCGAAATCAGCTTCTCTCGCACAGAGACTCGAGTTCGTTCCAGTGTGTCATCCAAAAGCGAGTCACCTAATGGCACAAGATACTAGAAATGAAAAAGGATATAGATCAGCCAGGGACGTACCGAAATTGTGATCCTTCCCGTCCTCATGCGTTGGCGGCGCTCTGACCAGACTATCTTGAAATTCCTGTAGAGCGGAACGATCAGCATCTTTCGCGCATCACGTCTTTCCTTTGCATGCCAGAGTGCAGGCAAACTCACCCACCTTCAAAATCGAGATGTCTGAAAAATCTCTATCGCAAACATCAGCCACTCCCGTACCGCGACGCACCGTCCCACGCCACGCCCAAAGGCAACGGAAGTGGTTAGGCCTCCAAACTTACTCTTGCGCAAACCAAGCCGCCGTGACAATGCCCAGCCTTTCCCTCAACTCCCCCATACCTCTCGCCGTGGGCGAGATCACGACCACGGCCTTCTGGACAGTCGACCGCGTGACGTCCACGGAGCGGCGCTTGAGTTTCTCCGACCGGATCTGTCGCGTGCAGGAGATACCAAACAGACTCGTGGCCGCGCTCGTCACCGCTCCTGTCTCGCGTGGCTTCGCCTCTGCACTTGATGGAGAAGTCACGACAGGGTCAGCGTCGGGGCTCCGGTTGTCGAGCAGCGTAAAATAGCTAAACTCCTCCGCCATGGCGTGCGCGCCGTCAGACAGCGCCATGAACGGCAGCAACGACCAATCGTTGAATTTATACAGGTTTTCGCCATCGCTGTGAACCCAGAACTCAATCTCTGGACCACTGATCCCAACGATCCGTTAGTCAAAGGAAGGAGTTTGTCTCATGTGAAATATGAAGCTATTGGGGAACGGACCAGGGTTGAATAAACCCGAAAAGATCCAACGTACCGAGCGTGGTGGAAGTCAACGACGGCGACCTGCGGCGTAATGGTTGTCATGTTGAAGATGAAAACAATATGCAAGGCATGTCAAGAACAGAAAAAGGCAAGCAGGGAAATTATATTACGCATCCCAGAGGCAGAGACGAAGCGCACCTCTATGTAGTCGACGTGTGATCAGAAACAAGAATGCCCGTTTCCGCTGAGGAATGAGAGAAAGGAGTCCGTATCGGATTTCGGATCTTAGTTTCTCCGATTTGCACGTGGTTCCGCCCTTGGCGCCGCTGCCGGAATTTCAGGCAGTGCCAAGACTTCGGTCAATTACCGTAAGGACCCCTTGATACATCGCGAAATCGGAGCGCGAACATCTCCAATCTTGTAAACTTGCTTGTCTTACTACGTGCTCAATTTTCATACTAGGTACTTAGGTGACTGTGTTCAATGAGGTCGTCATCATTCTCTGCGGCCGCTAACTCCATCTTCCTGCTCTGGCTGATAATTCCCGAGTGCAATCTTATAGGGTTGATTTTGCTGTATCCATTATTTTCCCACACTCCTAATTCGAGAGGTCTCAGTTCAATGGGTTGATGAAGCCAAGGCTCTTTCTGTAATCATTGCCGGTCTGATGTCTAAGGAAAGAACACCATTCAAACCCTCTCTGTCTAAGTATCAAGACCAGTTCGTGCTCTGACCTCATTTTCATCCTTGACGTCGAGAGGTTCAATGTTCCAAATCGTATCGGCATACTCGTTGATGCAACGATCTAGATACCAGGTCAGCTCACTACACACAATTATATGGAAGTATGTGGCAGTTGGACGTACCCGACGTGAAGAAGCCCATTCGGGCCACACTCATAATCGACTTGGTGACCCAGGAGTCCTGGTCTTTGTATGCCTCGTCGATGAGGTCCTGTGTCTGGCAATAGCTGTTGAAGTCATCGCTCACTGTGGAGTCATTTCGTCAGCCTCTGACCTGCTGTTCAAGCTCCAAGATTCTTACCAAGGTAGTAGTCGCCGTGCTCCGCAATAGCACTGATAAGGGCGCCAAAAGCAGCCTCGTCACCGAAAGTGCCCTTTTTGATGCAGTCAAACACCTTCTGCAGTTCGGGGTTGACCTGGTAGTTGCCGTAGAAGTGGTGATGGCGCAAGTCCTCCACGTCCTCGGACAGATTGCCAAACAAGAAGATGTTCTGCTCTCCGATTTCGCGCGTGATCTCAATGTTCGCCCCATCCAGAGTGCCAATGATCAAACCGCCATTCAGCACAAATTTCATGTTACTGGTGCCCGAGGCTTCGGTACCAGCCGTGGAGATATGTTCACTGATATCCGAGGCCGGAATAATGATTTCCGCCTTGCTGACATTATAATCTGCCACAAAGACCACTTTGAGCAGATCGCCAACATCGGGATCCTTATTGACGACTTCGCCGACCTTGTTGATCAAATGAATAATGGTCTTGGCCATCCAGTAGCCTGGAGCTGCCTTGCCGCCAAAGATGGACACTTTAGGCGAAACCTTCTTGCGCTCCTCAGGGGTCATGGCCTTGATCGCCAGATAACGATGAATCACACCAAAAATATTGAGTTGCTGGCGTTTATATTCGTGAATGCGTTTGACCTGAATGTCGAAGAGCGCTTTGGGGTTGACGCTCACCCCGGTAGTCTTCAGGATATGCTGGGCAAGTCGGACCTTATTGGCGTACTTGATCTCCGCCCACTCCTTCTTGAACGCTTTGTCATCAGCAAACGGTTCCAGTTTGTTGAGCAGTGTCAAATCCTTCAGGAACTCGTAGCTTCCAATCTTTGAAGCAATCAATTCGGACAGACGCGGATTTGCCTGGTGCAGCCATCGTCGGGGAGTGATGCCATTGGTGACGTTGGTGAACTTGTCCGGGCCATAGACTTTGACAAAGTCTTTGAAAATGGTGGTCTTGATCAGATCCGAGTGCAGCTCAGCCACTCCATTGACTTTGTGGGAGCCGACAATTGCCAGGAAGGCCATCCGGACCATCTTGGGCTGGGATTCTTCAATGATAGAGACTCGGGCCAACATATCCCGGTCCTTTGGGAAGCGACGTTCGACAGACTGGAGGAAATACAGGTTGATATCGTAGATGATCTGTTACAAAATCCCATATTAGTAACGGTGTTTGACGTGGTTTGCAGCAAAGCCATGCACATATAATGTAAGATCCATGGGATACAAGAAGATAAGGTTCTTGACCAGCATCGTGCGCTGCCTGTTTGACCTTCGAGTCGTGGTGCCTTTTCGGGTCTGAGTGTGGGCAATACAGGGAGCTACATACGAGGCACATCAAGGAAATGAAAAGCTACTAACCTGAAGGTGCCGTGGAAGGAGGTTCTGGATCAGAGGCACGGACCACTTCTCCAATGCTTCCGGCAAAACAGTGTGGTTGGTATAACCGAATGTCTTGGTGACAATGTCCCAGGCGGTGTCCCATTCGAGGCCTTCCATGTCGATCAGGATTCGTTGCAACTCGACAATGGCAAGGGTCGGATGCGTGTCGTTGAGCTGAATGGCCACTTGTTCGGGAAATTCGGACCACTCGCGCTTGGATTTTTTGAATCTGCGGACGATGTCATGCAGAGACGCGGCACACCAGAAGTATTGCTGCTTCAGGCGGAGCTCCTTGCCTCTTTCAAGGTTGTCATTCGGGTACAACACGGCTGATATCGTTTCCGCACGTTGCTCGTCGGCCACGGCGCTCTCATACTCGCCAGAATTGAATTTGGAGAAATCGAACTCGCCACTTGAGGCCTTGCTGGACCAAAGGCGCAGGTTGTTCACGGTCGAAGTTCCATAGCCGGGAATGGGCACATCGTAGGCAGTCGCGGTGACCACCTCGCCGTCCTGCCAGGACACAATTTGTTTGCCCTCATCATCCGTGAACTTGTTGACCCAACCATAGAACTGCACATCGACCGTAACGTCGTGCCTGGGAAATTCCCAGGGGTTGAAATCAAGCCAGTAATCCGGGATTTCAACTTGGTAGCCGTTCTCAATCTCTTGCTTGAAAATGCCGTATCGGTATCGAAGGCCATAGCCCCAGGCAGCGTAGTTCAAGGAAGCCAAGCTGTCGAGGAAACATGCAGCCAGGCGGCCGAGACCTCCGTTGCCCAAAGCCGCATCGTGCTCTTGTTCGATGATATCCTCGATGCGGAATCCAAGCTCCGCGAGACCGTCTAATTGCAGTGTCAGCGCGCCCAAGACGGCGTTGTGGCGTATGACCTACCTTTGGCCACGTCTTTCAATCCAACATTGAGCATTGCATTGTCTAGTGCTCTACCCATCAAAAACTCGAGGGAGAGATCTTCCAGATTTGTAAGCTTCCAACCTTCCACCACAGCTTTCCCAGCACTCACAGTAGATTCTCTTTTGATCGACAAATGTCTGCCTCTGCTGGGTCTTGTTCCAATCAATGATGAGGCGGTTTCGGAAGGCCAGCGCAGTCCCGGAATATGCGGCTCTGTGTGAGGATCAACGTGAGGAGGTGGTTATGGGAATAGATTGGCAAGACATACAGCTCGTCGCAGTTGAAGAGAGATCGCGCCAAGGTGGTCTCGATCTGCTTGACACATTCTGCCTGTTGAGGAAGTGTCAGGTTGTGTGTCTTCGCTCAGAGATAAGTCGACCACTGACCTCAAACTCTTCCTTGGTTGTGAACGGACGGGGGGACTGTCCAGATCAGGGTTAGAAAGGTCGCCGAACGTGGGAGACAGCTGTTAGGAGCTCATTACAAATTTTCTCCAGCTATTGTCGTAAAGAAAAGGTCAGTATGCTCATTTTGTGTGGTATCGGAGACGGGCCACTACTTACGCCTCTCGCATATGCTCCGGGATGCTTGACTCCACGGCCTTGATGTCACCGGCTCCAAAGCCTGTGGCAGTCCGCTTGTGCTTCGGTCGAGTAAAGCCAGGGCCGACAGGACCTACTAAGGTCGAAATGGGAGCACTCGTCGAGGGTTTACGCTCCCGCGGGGCTGGAGCTGCGGTGGCTGCGGTGGCCATGTTGTCGGCGGGGTAGGACTAGACTACCCAAGCAAGCCAAACGAAGGGCAGAGTGATAAGGATAATATCGAGGAAAATCAATGGGCCTGGAAGGTTAAGTTGCCTCTAGAAAAGAGGTGAGGGCGGAAGAGTAATTGCAAGGGAGAAATTGTGAGGACAGAGGGGCAGGCCAGGACGTGGTATAGCTTCGACAGGGACGGGAAGGAAGGGGAAGCTGGGTTGCTGTGAAAAGCCAATGGAAGTGTCGTTTGCTTCGCCCTGGGCCTTGCCCTTGCCTCATGGGCTTATTGACTTATCGTCATTGTAAATGCAATGCGATGGATGCCATGCAAAACCGGATCCAGCCTATGAACGGGCCATTTTATCCCAGCTCCATCATTCAGCATGCGGTATGCATTAGCGCACTGCCAGCAACGGCGGGGCTCTGTACGAGCATCTGCTTGGGATATTACCTTGACCATGAATCATTCTCTCTACAGTAGTGTCGCATCTAGCCATCGTCGATCAACAGCAACGCCCGACCTTGAATATCGTGCTAGACCAAGCGGTGAGCCACGAAAAAGAGGATTCCCTACGCCATATTCTCCAGATTTAACGCGCCTCAGATCCTGTATCCCACCTTGACAGCTACCTGCGCCTGTATCTCCAAGCTAGAGCTCAAGCTCCACGGCAACGGGGCCAGAGGCCAAGAAAACACTTTGCATGTGCAAACGAGAGTGGCGTGGTTTTACTCGGTTCCATATTACTACATCAGCCCTTTCGTTGATGCTACTTACTGCCTTGTCATATTGGTCTGAAGCCTGAACAATCGATTGAAACCTACTACTCCGTACACCAACCCAGCCCCCTACATACTTCCATTGAAGGAATAAGGCCACAAGGAAAGAAACGAACACGAGGGCCAAAGAGGCGGACAAAGCTATCCTTTGGGCAGCCACATGGCGGGGTAATCATGGCGCACGAGTAGCCCTTCTCGACCTCTACTCGTTAGCCAAGTCAAAGAGTTGGGATATCGACCTGATAATTAT